ACATGTAGCTCTGATTTCCTGTGTCAGCCATAAGGAAGCTGTAAGCTCGCACAAGCACGGGGGAGTCTCAGAAAAGGAATCGGTGTGGTCCAGCGTTTGAGGAGGATAAGGGAAGTGAAACCCCAGGCCCAGATGTAAATTCTAAATGGAGTGGTGTGGCTGTGCCTTAGTAGGGAAGAAAGCTCTTAAAGGAGAAGATGAAAGCCAAGGATTATACTTTATTAAAATGAATTCCCATGTCTGGATGTGATTGTAATCTGCTTCAACATGCTGTAGATGAGTAGAGTGTGGGTTCCGTAACCCGACTGCTTGCTCCGGTCCAAGATGGTCAACCCCCAGGGTAAATCCAGGTTGATGGATGAGAGGCTTTTAAGTTAAGTTCATGATTACGGACCGGGATTCAGCCTGTGCAGCTACTTCATTGTCTAGAAAATCAGCAGGCTCAGGGGGAATTGCAATTATCTCTTTAGTTTGTCACATCGAGTAACATCAAAACCTCTTTCTCTTTTTCCTCTGTTGACAGAATAACACTGATGGACTTCACGAACTTGCCTGTGGGGGCTTAATTTATTGCCTGGGAGTTGTGTTCTTCAAGAGTGATGGCATCATTCCATTTGCCCATGCCATCTGGCACCTGTTTGTGGCCACGGCAGCTGCGGTACATTACTATGCCATTTGGAAATACCTTTATCGCAGTCCTACAGACTTTATGCGACATTTATGACCAATCTGTACTAGGTCTCGAAACCAGTATTATTTCAATTATGGCACTTGGGAGTGGGGTAAGAGCCGAAGGTTGCACAGAGGGAAAAAGACAAACAAAGACAACTGCACTGACTTCCTTTATATCTTTTGAATATAATTACTGTGAAAGTATAAAAGCTGTGTTCTGGAATTTCCCTCTTCACAGCAGATAAATAAGGTAGTGAATTAATTATTCATTCCATTCCACTATCATGAAGGACTCTGGATAGACTTGGCCAACTGATGTTTACAAAACAGAATTTTGTATTTTAATTTTACAGATTTTACTACATGATTTTTCTAAATTACTAGGTCAGGTTGTAAAAGTCAGTGCAATAACAAAGCTTCCTTTTTAGGAGAAAATTGTTTCTATCACTTTCCCATTAGCTGTGTGAAGAATCATGGACAGAACTTACACTACTTTTACCATGTTTCATCTTGGCATAACATGGTTATTTTTTAAATAGAAAGTTTCGTTTTTTGTAAATTTTTAAAGAATATTTCATCGAAGCGCATCTCTGCGGTTCCTCATTCATGTGAATTTTTGCAGCAAGCTGTCAACATTCCACAAATGAACAAACATTATACCTCTTCTGATAGTTTTATTAAGCATAGAGAAATTGCCAATTTTTAAAAACTGCGGTTTTCCAAACTTTTCTGCCAACCTCTGACTCTGAATTCCATGCTGCTTTGGGCCATATACTTGACCTCGTTTGGTTTACCAGTGATAGAAAAGTATTTTGATATCATTAACTTTTTCAAAGGACTCAACTTTTTCTCTATGCCTTTGCTATGTGTTCTTCAGGGTCCCTTTCAACAGTGGATGAGCATTCATGTCTGTGTTATGATGGTATTATTGGAGGGGCCATCCACGCGAGACTCCTGAAGCGTGTTATGAATTACAGTGAATAGTGGTACTGCCTGCTTGGTGCCCGTCAGTTAAGTCACTGTCACTTAGCTTACTATTATCAGTTTGGTACTCATTTTCAATTGTGGAACTAGATGCACAAATTCACATTCCTATCTTTCCCCTGCATCTCCTGATTTACTTTTTTCTTTTCTGTAGCAAAATATCTAAAAGCATTGTTTGACAGATAGAAACCCATGCATCTGTAGTTCATGGGTTATGTCCTAGCTCAGTGGAGTGGTATTTAATATATCATTTTTGGGTTTTGCCCTCAGTGTCTTATATTAAGATTAACCTTAGTTGCTTTGTTTATTAATCTCCTGTTGGTGTTTTAATAAATGAAATAACCTTGCCTTTAGATTGGTGCTGGTATTGACTGTTTGCAAGTACTGGGTTTGATCAGTGGAATAGTTGGTTTGATGAAACATTTAGGCTTACTCATTGAAGTTTTGTACTGATGCGGCTTCAAAAGAGGGTTTATTTTGGGTGTGCATATGTAGAACTCTCTCATTTGGGAAGAACTGGTATTTGCTGGTGAATTCTTAAACAGGCAAGGCGCCCAGTGATAACACCAACCAGACCACCCCTACCTGCATGATTCTGACCATCCTGATGCCTGTGGTTTTGTGTGTATTCTGTTTTTAATATATTAACTTTTGTGAATTTAAAGTCTGCTCAAAAGTAACACTGTCAAAACCACTAAAATGTATGTAAAAAATTGTGCTGTAGACTAGAATAAACTTGTTACTTGGATTTGTTCCACTGTCTCTGAATTAGATGACTGTGGAGATGATAATGCATTTTTGAGAGCTTGAGCTCATCTAGCGTTGTAATCTGTATACTCGCCTTTTTTCTTTTTCTTTTGAAAAGTCAGGATGAAAAGGGAAACAAATGTGCCCTGTCCTCTAGAACTTTCTAGCCCACTTTTTAATCATTGAAATGCCAGAGCCAGCTCAAACATTAAAATCAGCACACGTTTCACTTTAAAATATGCTAAAGATTGTAAATTTTATAAATGATGTATCTTTACGAAGAGAAGTCTTTTGGTTTAGCTTATGGAATACATTGCAAGGCTGAGGTCACACACTTTTGTATAAGCAACCAAACCTACATCATGTCGCAAACAAGTGTGTGAGTGTCCGAGCTCACTCCCTTTTCCACAGTGCAGCGTCAGAGAGGTTCGACTCCTTCCTCCAGAGTCAGGGAGCTGGGACAGGCACACAGGTCCCTCTGGTTCCAAAGCCTCCTACTCACCATACACCACTGCATTTTCAAAGCCAGCAAAAACAAACCAGTCAAGAAACTTGAACTGAAAATTCATCTGCAATGGCCATGGGAAAGAAAAGACTATTCATGCAGTTTAGAGCCTCAGTAGACCCTCAGGCAACCCTCCATCAAACCTAATCTTGAAGACCCAAGTATCTTGAAACATTATTATTCCCTATAATTCTGTCCCCTAGTCCCACCAGGGTAACCTCATCTGTTTCTAGAGCATCCACCTACTCCTGTGCTCTCTACCTTCCTGATCAGTATCCTCAGCCTAAAATTATTTTCTGAAGACCAGACCTCTCTCATCAACTGCCCAGATGGCCCCTCGGCACGTTTCACTCTGCCTGTCCCAAACTGAGTTCGTTATCTTTCCTTATCCACCCACCGCCAAGCCCATTTCTCTGACGTTCCCTATCTTAGTTCATGGCATGGCTAGAGCCACGCGCCCATCCTTGATTCGTGTCACCCTCAGATCCAGCCAGCCAGCCAGAGCTGTCACCTCTGCCTCGGTCACCACTCCCTGATCTGCTTCCTTACCACTCCCCCCACCCCTTCCTGCTGCAAGGAGCTACCAAGCCCTAGTGAGCTGCCCTCAGACTGCTGAGACCACCTCAACGTACCACTACTACCCATGTACCCTTGCCACTGACTCCATCCCTTGAACAAGCACAGCCTCTTACACTGCAGGTGGCATTATCTTCCCAAAATAGAATCTAAGCACGGCTCTCTCCTGCTTTAAAACTTCCACTGACCCTTAGCCTGTAAGACTTGGGTCCACCCCTAAGCATGGTGTCTTCACATGCTGACTCCTTCCTGATCCTCTCTCTCCGACTAAAGCCTACAAGACACCAGCCCCACCACCTTCCCCCTCAACAACATGCCCTCTTGGTGCTTTTGCACTGCCCTTGTAGCTGCTGTTCCTCCGCCCAGGATGCCTTTATCCCAGCCTTTCTCCTACCCTGGCAAACATTTCCTCATTCCCAGCCGCCATCAGATGCCTTCCTCTATGGCTGCACAGCACTAATATGGTGGCCTCTGTCGTGTTGCATTGGGGCTGAGTTTGTTTGCTCCTTCTTGTCCTGGGGCTGGGCTCCCTCAAGGCAGGAGCCAAGTCTCATACACCTCTGCTCCACTTGTGGCCTAGCACTGGGCTTACCAGAAGGGTGCAGTGAGCAAAAGGAGAGAGGGAGGGGCGGGTTAGAGGAGAAAGACCGACGATGAAGTGTGTTTAGGACAGACCTGGTTTGGACCAAGTACCTCTTGTCCATCATGAACACTGTAGCAGGCTCTCACTGACTCCCTGGAGATAACTATTTCTAGGTCCCTTGGCCTGAGTGGCGTCCCTGACCAAGGGTCAGCTAGAATGTCCATAGCAAACGCAGAAAAGTTGATGAGAAATCGTCATGGAAGATATTAGATAGTGTGTCTGAAGTAAGGGAACAACTCCAACCTTATTTACTGAAGCTTCCAGAGAACCAACTATCACCGATTTATAAGCCTGGAAAATTATTTTACTACCTACTTCCCTTAGGTCCTCTTTTTCTGAAAGTATTGATAAAATAAAAAAAAAAAAAAA